AAGTTTTGATATTAATTTCCATAAACTAAAATGCTAATTAGGAAGTACATAGATGCATGAACACTTAAGAACATGAATGTTTACTACGCATTTTAAAAAGGCAAATAACTGAAAATAATACAAATGTTCACTACTAGGGAATCTGGTTGAATTATTGTACATCAAATAGTAAAAGAATATATTGCTCTTAAAAATTAATAAGGAGCCTAGTGCAGTGGTGCACTGCTGTAATCTCTGCTACTGGGAATCTGAGGCAGAAGGATCACAAGTTCAAGGCCAGCCCCAGCAACTTAGCAAGACACTCTTTGAAAATAAAAAATAAAAAGAGCTGGGTTGGGGATGTAGCTCTATGTAGAGCACCCTGGGTTCAATCCCCAGTACTAGGGGGGAAAAGGATTAGTAGAAAAAAAAATGTGAAAGAAAAATATCCTGCCACTAATGGTAGCGATCTCTGAATTGCAGGCAACATTCACTTTCTATATTTTATCATTATGAAATATTTGAATTATTTAGAATGAGAACATGTTTTTCATAAGGAAAGAAACTGATAAAGAATAAAAATATTACTAAACTTGCTATCTTGGAGTAAGTTTTAAATTTTACCATATTCAACTCTTACTGTCTAAAAGTAAGTTAGAAAAAGAGTTTCTTATTTTTGAGGATAAGAAGTGGTATAAATAAGTAAAATATTTATCCCTTAAGAGCTCAGTTATTTTAGTTCTGGAAATATATATATATATACACATACATACATACACATATATGTATATACATACATATATATACACACACATACATATACATATATATATATTTTTCACACATGTATATATGCATATGTATTGTGCATACATATTATATTATATATATTTCTGAGTACCCATGAGGTGTAAAGCAGCCTGTAGGGACCTTCCTCCCCAACTTACCATGATTCTTTGCAGCATCCCCTGGCCTATCATGATGCTGTTGTTCAACTTAGCATTCCAATTCCTTCTTGCATTAACTCAGAAGAGAAAACCCAAGCTAGCACAGAGCCTGTAATCAGATCAGCTCGAGCTCCAAGCATTCTTGACAAAGGAAAATAACAATATTTTCTTTTTTTGCTATTTGACATCAAGGAATCTGGATGTTATTCAGTTCAAGTCATTCATACCAACAGAAGCTCAGAGGTGGAACAAACATGGGAAGTAAAGCTAAGAGACAGTATTGCATGGTGTCAGAGCATGAGAGTTAGGGTTACTATAGTCTGCATTTGGATGTTCACAGCTGAGTGATCTTGGGCAGTTTACCTAAGCTCTCTGAGGCACAGTTTCCTTAGGTTTAAAATGGAGACAAATATCTATTTCAGATAGTTACTCTAAGAATTCACTGGAGAGACAGGCTCCTTCGTTCACCTTCTCCCCCTAAGTTAAGGCTACTGTTTACTGAAGAACTAGTAATTAGAATGAACAAATCATTATTACAAGAAGGGAAGTTCTAAGGCATAGTGAGTTATTTTGGGGTTAATGTGGTGATGAAATGGGAAGCAAATATATGTACAGTTCCTTCTGGACTTATAGTGAGGCTACATCCCAACTAAACACAGTGTAAGCTGAGAACATCTTTTTTTTAAGAAAGAGTGAGAGAGAATGAGAGAGAGGGAGAGATAGAGAGAATTTTTTTTTAATATTTATTTTTTAGCATTTGGCGGACACAACATCTTTGTCTGTATGTGGTGCTGAGGATGGAACCCGGGCCGCACGCATGGCAGGCGAGCGCGCTACCACTTGAGCCACATTCCCAGCCCCTGAGAACATCTTAAGCTGACAATACATGTAACATGCCTAACCTCCCCAACTGAACAGCTTAGCAACCCAGTCCACTGCAGAGATCACCTCTTTACCCTGGTGATTCCCAGGATCATTAGAGAGTATTGTCCCATATTTTGCTAGTCTAGGAGATCAAAATCCAAAATTCAAAGTATAGTTTCAACTGAATGCATATCTTTTTAACACAATTATAAAGTTGAAAAATTAACAGTTGAACTACTGTAAGTTGGGGACCATTTGTCTATTAATATTGTACTCTGGTAAATTTATCTAGCATTGCCAGGTTCAATATCCTTCTATCTTTCTCCTTTCTCCTTCTTTATCATAACTACTAATATTCCTGATTTAGTTTCATTTTAAAGTAGTATAGATGAAGCCATTTTTTTCTTATTAACTTATTCATATCAAAATGTACATACTGCAGAGGTTTATATAATACCTTGGCCTGTTACTAACTTCAGTATCTCTAAGTTTATAATTTGGTATCATATAAAGGAACATGTTATCAGTTATAGAATTGCAGGATATGATATTTTTCATCTTTAATTTTTTAACTTATCAGTTTAAAATAATTTCAAACTTATAATTAACTTAAAAAAACAGTAAAAATGTTTCCATATGCACTTCACCCAGCTTCCCCAAATGTTAAACTCCACACAACTGTCAGCTGCTTATTAAAACCAGAAAATTAACACTGGTAAGATACTACTCGAGGTTTCGATCATTTTTGGGGGGGGGGGATGGTATCGGGGATTGAACTCAGGGGCACTCAACCACTGAGCCACATCCTCAGCCCTATTGTGTATTTTATTTAGAGACAGGGTCTCACTGAGTTGCTTAGTGCCTTGCTGTTGCTAAGGCTGGCTTTGAACTTGGGATCCTCCTGTCTCAGCCTCCGAAGCCGCTGGAATTACAGGTGTGTGCTACTGTGCCTGGCTCAGGTTTCCCTCTTTTATTTATTTATCTATTTTTATTTTTTAGTTGTAGTTGGACACAATACCTTTATTTACCTATTTTTATGTGGTTCTGAGAATTGAACCCAGGGCCTTGCACATACTAGGTGAGTGCTCTACCGCTGAGCCACAACCCCAGCCCTCAGGTTTTTATCTTTTTGAGAGAAATGTTGGGGTTTGAGGACAGAGAGCCCTGGGGAATTCTAGGCAACTAATCACTGGCCTTATGAGTGATTTAAAACAGCAGACAATTCAGAATTTTTTTTTTTTTTTTACTTCCATGATGAAATGAAAAGACACATGTATTTTACCTTCTTCTATTAGTCTGTTTTCTGTTGCTATAACTAAAAATCACAGATTGGGAAATTCAAGAATAAAGGTTTATTCAGCTCATGGTTCTGGAGGCTGAGAGGTCCAAGGTCAGGGTCCAATGAGGGTCTTCCTGCTGGGTCACTGCATGGTAGAAAATATCCGTGGCAATACAGAGCACATACAAGTGAGAGCCAACTGGTTTTCACAACAGATCCAGTCTTGAGATACCCCATTATTAGCACATTCATGCACAAATGGACCAATCCATTCTTAAGGGCAAAGCCCTCTTGACCTAATCACTTCTTAAATGTCCCACCTATTAGGGTCTCATGATGGGGATTAAGTTTCCACATGAGTTTTAGTGGGGAAAAATCAACTCATAGCACCTTTCTTTTGTTGAGATTAATGATAAAATTACCTGAGATTCCTGAGACATAAACTGAAGAGAGTTCTTATTCCAATAATTATTTAAGTGATTCTTTATAAGGTGCTAGTTCTTCTGGATATTTGGGAATTACAGATAGGAATCCTTAGTCCTGTGTCACCAGTCACCTCATGTTTAGAGAGATTATCCTACATAATCGTAGGATCTCAACAATCCTAGGAGCTAGGAACTATGTCCTGATTTAACTGAAAAAAGATAAATTGAGGTTTAGAGAGCTACTAAGGAAACCAGCCTGCTCTTGGATTTAACTTCTTGCTACAGTGAGATAAGCACTACTGAAATGTTCTCAAGTCCAGAGTCATATATTTATATATGAAATCACTTGTCTTCGTTTTATATAAAGAAGAGCATGTGCATATTTTCACAGGAATGATTTTAAAAGAAAAGCAAATATACAACAGAAAGGTAAACATATATAATGAATCTTTTAAAAATGAGTACATTTAGGGACAAAAATTGCCAATGAGGAGAATTGACTGAAGTTATAAATGTCATTCCCGGAAGGGTTATGTGTGCACATGGGAATGGTGCAGGAGCAGAGAAAGCCTCAAGGGCTTCTCAGCCCAGAAAATCAAATTCTGAATTGCATCTATTTCCACCTTCTCATCTTTTTATTAAAAGGGACACACAGTCTTTGTATTTTAACAATATGTTTCAAAAGTTCTTATATTGACCATAACTTGATGTCTTTTCAAATATATACATGTTAGTATCTAGTAGTCTTAGTGTGCGTCAAGTTTCCTTTGGGGTGTGGAGCTGGTGAGCATATCCTAATGTAGTAAGAGTCCACTCCGACAATGGAGCAGAGCTTCTGCTTTCTCCAGATGTTTGCCACAGTTCCTATCGCACTTAAGGATGTGAGTGGCTGGTGATAAATCCATCCCCACTAGCAGTAAAGCTACTCCCAGAATCCCAAAAGATCGGTGGGAGAATTGGCATCTTTCCATTGGAAAAGCAGCGAGTTACCCTCAACAGTGGGGCGGGGAGCTCCGGAGATGAGTGCGAACCTTGGGCCTCTGTGGGTTCTACTTCATTTTCAAATCATCTAAAAAAATTCATATGACTTTAAGGTGTGTCAAAGCCGGACCCCCTTTTTTTGAGAGCGGAAGAGTAGGCGATGGGAAACGGCTGTTCCTCCGGATGGAAGAGGGAGGGCTCCGGACAGACTCGGGAAGTCTTTGGGGGAAAGGGCCCAAGGTTAGACTCCCCTTCTAGGTCCCGCGCTTCTGCAAACGCCTGTCCTGGACCCCACCGCCTCATCCCCCTCTGCGAGTGTTGACGGAGGAAAACACGAACCCCAGCCTCCGACCACCCCGTTCCCGCCACACTCTGGCAGGGCGCGGAGCACAGAGCAGGCGGGGAGGGCGCGGCGCACCGAGGGAAGGGCGCAGGGCCGGCGGCGGCCTCGCAGCGCGTCCACATGTGGCGGGGGAGGGGGGGCGCGGAGCCGAGGGGGAGGGTTTACATCTCGGCGAAGTTCCCGGATGGTCGCAGCCTCCCAGCGTTGAGCGCTTTTCCTGCCCGGCCGGCTCAGCCCTTCGGACCCTGGGAGAAGTTTTCCCCCAAAAATGCCCCGCGCGCTGCGGGGCCGTGGAGCCGCCCGGAGCTGCTGCGTGGTAAGGGACGCTCACTGCCACCGCTCTGGGCGCGGCCCGGGGTCCGGGGCGTGCGGGGACTCCGCCAGGGTCTGGGCTCGACGGCGGGGTTCGGCACCGGTGACGCGGGCGGGACAGTTCGGGATGCCGAGGCCGCGTCCCCTGCAGGCGGTGGGCGCGGGCGGGGCCTCGGGAGGGGCACGATCCCAGGCCCCGCGGCCCGCGCGTCCTGCCCACCGGGTCGATGGCCCGGGAGGAAGGGGCAGCGGACAGCCGTGACTCCGGACGCGGGCGCTGCCGCGCTGGGCGCGCTGCTGGGCTCCGTGGACTCGGGGCCGCCCGGAGGGGCTCGCGACCCGCTCCCGCAGAAGCCTCCTGCGCGGGGGCTTTGCGGCGATGCCCCGGGGGCGCATCTATATCCCCAGATCGAGCGGAGGGGGACTTTCGGGCAAACCGCCGGACACATCATACTCTGGCACCGCCTCGCTTTCCTAGTTGAAGGGAGTGTGCCCCTCCCACAAAAGGAGCTTTCCTCTCAAAGCTCCCAAATAGCCGATCGATGATCTGTATAGACGCGCGCAATAGTGGGCTGTGTTGTCCCTAGAGGCACGGCCAGTGCTGGTCAGCGCTTTTCCCTTCGGACAGCTTCACTTCAGTCTTGCACCCCCCCCCCTTTCTATTAACATGCTTTTCTTGTTAAAGAAAGAACTGTTAAAAGTTGCAAGTGTAAGGAAAACCAGCGGATTTAGGGGTGACCCAGATCCTCGACTGAAGGCTACACCTTGAACTCAGAGATTAATAAAGGGTGTGTCTGTATAAGGAATGCCTGGTTAAATCTCTGACTGCCTATTTCCCAATGGACTATTACTCCCTAGGGTAAGCTCCAGGCTCCAGGCTTTATCTGAGTTCTTCAGAAGCTTTGCAGGTTGTCAGCTTTGAGTGAGTGGACTTAGTACCTTTTTCTGAAAATCTCTAGTCCTGTCCCCTGGGTCTTCGCTGGACACCACCGGGTTCCCCATTTCTCCTGCCTGGCATATGTCGCCTCAAACCCCAGGAAGTGCAGTGCAGCTGCAGAGCCAGGTTCAGATCCGGCTCTTTATGCCACTTTTCCAAAGCCATTTCACAAAGACACTGCAGCTTCATTTTGGATCATTGGTAGGTTTTGCCTCCACAAAAAATGTCTATTTCTATAAGGGATAAAATAAATCCAAGAAATATTCTATTTCAGTTTGTAAATCATCTTTAGACTTTGTAAAGTGAGAAAACTCTGCATAGGCTATCGGCACCAGCATCTTAATCCCTTTTACAATGCTAAACAACACTGCACTTGTGTATCCCTGCTCTCTGTAATTCCCTGCCTGTCATCTCCACAAGGTTGAGTTTCTCAGCAACCTGGAGGTGTTACAGTCTACAAATCCCCAAGTACCATTGAGAACCCATTACCTGTTGAATAGAAGCCTGCTGACTAGGCTTTGCAGGTGTTCTAAAACAGCTGGTTAATGTTGGCTTACTTCTGGGGACCTACCCGGCCCCCACCACAACTTTTCTTCCAGAAAAGCAACTAATATTCTTTTAGATTGTGTGATCTAGAGCAAAGAGACTGGAAGCAAGGTAAGTTGAAATTTGGAACATTTAGAGAAGATAAATGTATTTCCAGCTGGAGGGATTCATGCTTTCGTTTGTTTTTTCAGTTCATAAATTGTCTTCTGTATGTTTAGCCACCTTTTGGTCCCTATAAAGGCATATCATGCAACTTGAGCCTCACTTATCTCATTCAAAAATGGGGCTGATAACCTTTGTTTCCTCTTGTCCCAGGGCATAAAGATCAAGTGGAACAATGGGGTGTGAAACAGCAAAAAGTAGCTTGACACAAAGGGCCACCTAGGCACTATCAGTGGGCAGCACCAAGACACAAGAGCAATAATGAGCTGAAAGGGGGTTGGTGGTGAAGAGAAGGAAGTATTCCAACACCCTTTAAATTTGCTGTCTCAGATGCTCAGGCCACCACCGGCCTTCTTTTGTGATTGGTATTTGGTACTAGGTCTGCATCACTGTCTTTGGTATTTCAAGGTGTTCTAACTATGGTTATAATTTTTGCAACATGTGGTTTCCACAACAGAACAAGGAGAACAAAACTAAACAAATACGATTTTTTAATTTGTTGCTATAACCCCTTCATTTCCAAGCATCTGGGATTCTGCCTCCCAGAGCTGTGGTCTTCCTGAGGCCTGTCCTCCAGTGTGGCCTACTAAATTCCTAATGATTTCCACACAGAGGTCTCTCTGCTGCTGTTTCCCAGCAAGCCACAATTATGCCGTGGTTCTTGAAGCTTTGGTAGGCACATTTATGCTTTTCTGGGACTTACAGATGTGAATATGAATCAGGAAACAGTTGGAATCAAACCAATACTCACTGAGCTTTGAGGGTCCTTGCTAGAGGTCACAGCTGTAGGGAAACTTCGCTCAGAAAAAGGAGTTTGTCCCCGAATGTTTACCTTTGAATTACAGATGAGACTGGTTTCAAACAGCAGGAATGCAAAGCATAAGGTGAAAAAAAGACGCAGATCAAATTCAGAAAGTTTTAAGGAGAGTAAATTTCCCTCCAGCTGGAGGGAGTTAGTGTGTCATTAGTTTGTTCATTTAACAAATATTTATTGTTTGCTATGTGTCAGCCACAGGAAGATTAAAAATAGGTACATTTACATTGTATTTTATTGGTTCTGCTCCAGTTGAGGGACACTGCAGGTTTTCCTTCCCTGTGGCAGGGGAAGACTTCCTCACTCAGCCTCATCGTATTGCCCAGCCCTAACATTTGTCATTGTTCCTCACCCTGCAGGTATATGATCAGGTTGGAATAATTAACTTTGTCTCTTATATACTTTTAATTAATAAAAACTCTAGACTCAGCAAAGTCTCCAGAGTATCTGCAGTTAGTTAAGTAACACTATCTGCTTAACACATGTAAACTAGCATTGAAGTAGGCTGGCTTTTATCCATGAGTATGACCAGAAGCTTATAAAGGTTTGATTCTGTAAGTGTGGGATTTAGGAATCTATTTTGGGCTTCTGAGATCTATTTTGAGAGCTCATAGGTGTTGCTGAGATGTTGCCAAGGTGCTGCTAAGGGCAGAGTTTCCTAATGGTTACAGCATGGGCTATGGAGTCAGACTCATCTTGCTTTTCCTGTCCCAGTACTATTTTTCACAAGGTTTCTTTACCATTAGAATGAGAATAATAACCTCTAACTCAAAGGATTGTTTTGAGGGTCAGATGTAGTTTGTATGTGGGTCACTTAGCAGACCATCTGCAATAGTGCTGTTTTGGGGGTATTTGTGGGCTATTATTATTAGCATTAGTATTATCAGTGTCAGTATGTAGAAGACACTGTTGGCAAAAAGAGCCTAAACATAGAAACTGCTTTTTTAAAAACAAATTAATATGTAGTAATAATAATAATAACAATCCCTTAGCTGTCTGTAGTTTACTGAATGTTTCACATCAGTCATCTCACATGATGTATTCTCTTAACCCTGAGAAGGAGAGATCTCACTGAGAATGGTATTATTGGCGTCCACCAGCCTGCAGTGCCTGCTTACCCAGTAGAACCTACTCCACTAAGGTTAGCAGGACAATTAAGGACAGAAAACAAAGACAAGATGTATCACTTTCCTGGCCCTTTGGCACCAGGAAATAGCAGGTTAACATGTTGTGGTAGTCACACAGTGGCTGTAACCATGAGGGGTGACCAGGAATTAGACTCACTGCCCCAGGTCAAGCTGCCTTGGTCACAGGTACAGTAATCAGGTCCATCAGATGGGGATACCACTGCTCCTTCTTGTGGCCAGGGGTCAGGGAACTTTGAGTGAAGGGAGGCATGCTGAGCGTTACAGATTGGTCCCAAAAGTTGTTGAAAGTCAAAAATAATAGACTTTGCTAACATTCAATGAAAGAAGAATGTAGTTAAAATAAATAGAAGATACACTTACAGTTTTTGTTAGTTCAGTAGCTTTGATAGCATGGTTAGCATTGTAAGAACATGGCACTATGTAACACTTTGATTGCTTACTCTGAGTACATTTTTCCTTTCTAATAAGCCATATTTTTAGTATAACTCAATTTCTTTTAATCTCTCAATTTTATTTAAGTGAATGAAATTCTTCAAAGCTTTTTATGATTTTGTCCAAGCTTTAAAAAAAAATCTCTCCTTCCCTCCCTTCCTTCCTTCTTTTCCCTCTTTCTTTCTGACTCCCTCTTTCCCTTCCTTTTGTCCTTTAAGATTACCTCTTACTATGTCATGAAATTGAATCATTTAATAATCATGCAACCCTGTGAGATTTCTGTTTGTATATGTGGAGGATGGAAGAAGCTAGGTACCTTGCCCAAGGTTACACAGCTAGCAAAAGAGTCCTCAGACTTGTTGCATCTGATTCCCAACACTACCCCTTCACCCCTTCCTTCCACCACCAGCCTTTGGGCACACTGCAGGGCACACGGCTTCTTGTGTCAAGGGCTGTAGCTCAACAGAGCTTTCCCATTCCCATCTGCTTGCCTTTGCCTTGCCATTCCTTCCTGCCACACTGCCCTTTCTCTGAATTTGTTGTAGAATCCTGTAGAATCTTCAGATTGGTCACAGTTAGTTGTTGAGAAGCAAAAAACAGTAGACTTTGATAACATTCAGTGAAAGAAGAACATATCTAAAATAAAGGAGAGACACAATTACCTAAGACCACACTGGTTTAATGACCTTGATAAACTTGGTTCACATTGTAAGAATATGCTACTTAAGTCTCAGTCCATTTCTTCTGCTGTTGATGTGGGCCTCTCCTGTGACTTGAAATCCACTCTGTCCTGGATTATAGTCACATGTGTCTCCTCTTTATATTGTAGACTCTTTTGAAATACTTTTTTAAAAAATTCATTTTTAGGGGCTGGGGATGTGGCTCAAGCGGTAGCGCGCTCACCTGGCATGCGTGCGGCCCGGGTTCGGTCCTCAGCACCACATACCAACAAAGATGTTGTGTCC